TACTTCCTTTTTATTTATTTTTTGTATATAATTAATGAATATTGTATATATTAAATAATAAATACTTTTCATTTAGCAAATTAGGGTTTTGCCCTAAACCATGAAAATACCCAAAAATTTAACCTTTTTATTTTTGTTTATTTGTCACACAAAAAATACTTTTACATACATATAAAAATCATTTTTTGCATCTTGCATATTTATTTTATTTTATTTAATTATTGTGCAATTAAATTAACTTGTATATTCAATTTGGATGTAATAGTTAGATTTAAATTTCTTGCTGAATATCCCCATTTGAACATTTGTACCCCCCATCCCATAATTATGTTGTAATAATTTAGGACTTTAATTTCCTCACTTTAAAGCTTTCTAATTATACCATGATAGACTTAGGTTTGTATGCAAAAATCAAATAACAAATAGCTTGACCTAATTCAAAGATAAAAAAGCATGAAAATGGACAACACTAACCACACTTGTACCCCTAGGGTTACTCCACTTGTTGCCTTCAATAATGGGCCATGTTGCATGTTGGGTGTCTTTGGTAAAAACAAAACAATTCAAATGATCATAGTCCCTCGATGACGCTTTCGAAAGTTGCCTAAAAATGATCAAGTCCCTTGAAGGAAAAGTTGCCAAAGACACTTGGCACTATTGCAATCATGGTCTAAACGATGACCCGCGCCTGTCCCGTTAACATCCTAACACAAGATTGTCCACCAAATACAATGGTGGAACAAAATTGTTAAAAGGGTTAAAACATAGGAAAAACCTTTGAGTAAATTTAGGGGTAGACAACTCTTAGTTACTTGATAAACTTGCAAAAAACACTTGCCTACTTTTTCAAAACCACACTCCACAACACACTTTCAAAACAACTTTCAAAAACTTTGAAAACTTTTCAAAGGATAAGTACACCTTCGTATACATTCAAACATGGATCATTATAAAGGTTGCCACCACATTGGCCTCTTTTCAAAACATTTTCAAACCCACACACAAAGCACCATTTCAAACAATTGAAAGCACCATTTCAAACAATTGAAAATGCAAGGCAAGTAATCTAAGCAAGTAACTAAGAGCCCATGGATAACCATGGATAGAAAGGGTGCTAATACCTTCCCTTTCTATAATCTACTCCCCGAACCCAAGAAAACATCTCAAAGGTTTTTGCTGTGCTTTTTAACCTTTCCTTAGGATAAAATAAAAAGTCGGTGGCGACTCTTGCTCAACCGAAACATTTGCGAAAACAAACACAAAACCTCAAGTCAGTTCTCCCACCGTATCACACCAGTTTAATGAAGGCTCTAGGAATTCTGCCTCGAAATTCCATAGGAACCGGCCTAAGTTCCACAATCACATAGGTGAGTCTATCAAGAGTACTCTTGTAGCCTAGGTACTCCCTCATACAGAGTATAGATCTCATTAAGAGTTTCTATCATCTCATCCTCTTATTACTTCAGGATTTATGCTTTACTTGCATGATCATCTCATATTTCTCATAACTTGTTATTACCCATTGAACCTATTTCTTGGGATCTCCAGTCATTTAGGTCGGGTTACCATCATGAGAAACTCATTTTTCTATAGGCATTAGTCCCATCTTATATGATGTATTATAGACTTTCTCTCTAGCTAATCCTTTCGTCAAAGGATCTGCTAAATTTTCATCAGTGCGTACATGATCCACTCTTACAGCTCCTTTAGAGATACAATCTCTAACAGTGCTGTGCTTTCTTCTTATTTGACGTCTTTTACCATTATAATAACGGTTCTCAATTTTGCAATAGCCGCGGTACTATCACAGTGGATCAACATAACTGACATATGTTTTTCCCATAAGGGAATCTCAGTTAGCAAGCATCTTAACCAACTTGCTTCTTCACTAGCAGTCGCTAATGCTATATTCTCAGGATAGTATGTTTCTTTGATTTCCAAGATACAACTCCTCTAGCTATGTTGAATACATAGCCACTAGTTTCTTTGGAATCATCTGATAAGGTATTCCAATCTGCATCATTGTATCCTTAAGGTACAATGGGAAATCTATGATAATGTAAACCGAGATTCATGGTCCTTTTAAGGTACTGTATGACTCGCTCAATAGCTTGCCAATGTTCATTACTCAGTCTACTAGTAAACCCGCACAACAATCCCACGAAATATGCAATGTCAGGTTTAATACAATCAATGGAATACCTAAGACTTCCAATGATGCTCGCATGTTCTGTTTGTCTAACACTTTCACTAGTGTTCTTAAACAGCTTCATGATTAGATCATTTAGTGTGCTCACAAGTTTACTGTCAAAGTAATTATATTTCTTTAAGATCTCTTTCACATATTGTGATTGATCCAAAGAAATTCCTTGCTCTGATTTTGTGATCTTGATACCAAGAATCACACTCACTTCTCTGAGGTCTTTCATATCAAAGTTGTTGCACAACAATGATTTCATATCATTAATGGCCTGAATGTTTGATCCAAATATGAGTATATCATCTACATATAGACATATGATAGTGCAAATACAATTCTCAAATTTGTAATAAACGTATTTGTCACTTTCATTCACTTTGTACATATTCGATATCATTAAGTTATCAAACTTTACATGCCATTGCTTTGGAGCTTGTTTTAGCCCACACAAAGACTTATCTAACTTAGAGACCTTATTTTCTTGTCCATGGATCACAAACTCTTCCGGTTGTTTCATATAGATTTCTTCTTCTAAGTCACCATTTAAAAAAGTTGTTTTAACATCCATTTGGTGTACTATTAAGTTATAAATAGCAACTATTGAAATAAGTACCCTAATGGATGTAATTCTAGTGACAGGAGAAAAGGTGTCGAAGAAATCTATATTTTATCTTTGTCTAAAACCCTTGGCAACAAGGCAAACCTTGTATTTATCAATAGTTCCATCAGGTTTTAGTTTCTTTTTCAAAACCCATTTACAACCAATTGGTTTGCAACCAGGAGGCAAGTCTACTAAGTGTCAGGTCTTGTTAGATTCTAGAGATTATATCTCATCATTGATAACTTCTTTCCATAACTAAACATCCAGAGATGACAAGGCTTCTTGAAGATTCATTGGATCTTCTTCTACATTATAAGTCGCATAATCAGGCCTATAGTCTTTAGCAACTCTTAATCGTTTACTTTGTTGAAGTTCTGTTTCTACATTGTCGTTGCTTTCTGTGCTTCTTATCACATGAATGTGACTCGATTGTGTGCCCCCACTATTTCTCAATTTGAAAGGAAATTTGTCTTCATAGAATTCAACATCAGTTGATTCTATGATCACTTTTGCCTTTAGGTCATAAAACCTATATGCTTTACTGTTTGCTGCATACCGAATGAAAACACATTCATATGTTCTACTAGCGAGTTTAACTCGTTTCGGATCCGGAATTCTGACATAAGTCAAACAACCCCAAGTTCTCAAACAAGACAAGTTTGATTGTCTTTTCTTTAATATTTCATAAGGAGAGATCTTACAGTTTGACTCGGGGACTCTATTCAGGACATAACAAACAGTCAATAAAATTTTCCCCCACCAGTGAGGTGCAGCATCAGAATTCATCATAATTGCAACAACAAGTTCAGTAAGAGTTCTATTATTTCTTTCTGTTTTACTATTCATTGCAAGATAGTATGGTGCAGTCGTTTCATGTACAATTTCATGTATAAAATTCATTAATAAACTAGAATCATATAGTTTATCTATCACTACAAATTCTTATTATATCATTTTCAAATTCTTTACAAAAAATTTAAACATATAAACTTCATTCTTCGCAATGGCGTACAAATCTACCCCAATAGACTGACTAAACTATGTCTTATTTAAAAGAAAACCAGAAACAATATTCTTTCTAATCTTAGGAACATGGATAACGTTCCTTAAGATTAAAGTCTTTTTGAAGGTGAAATTTAGCTCCATATCTACTATTCCAGCAACATTCGTGGTCTGACCATCTCCCAACAACACTCTCTTATCTTTAGTATTCGTGTATGTTTAAACATAACACGATCGTAACAGACACAACGAGAGACATAAGTGTCTATTCACTAACCAATATATCTATCAACCATGTTGATTTCAATGACCATAGCAATAAATTGCCCATTAGTCAGGTTGACCTGTGCATTAGGGACAACACGAAGTTCAACCTTACTTCTATATTTCTTAGTCATATGACTTGATTTTCCATAGTTAAAACAAAGAGAAACCAACGTGATTTCTTTTAGGTGGTGGTTGTTGCCTAGTTGGAGCTATTGGGATCATAGAAGGATTCCCATTCTTAATTCGGTTCGCAATATTGTGGTTCTGATTCTTTAATCATTTGCCAAATGGCTTCAGAACTACACCGAATTTCTTTTTGTTGTTTGAAACAACTAAGACTTTTTTTTTTGATATTGTCTCTAAGATTCCCTTTTTGTTTTTTTAAACATTCAAACTATGGGGTAGTTTGTCAATAATAAAACCAAATTTAAATTTTTCATTTAAACACTTACCTTTTGTGATGATCTTTTAATCAATCTTTTGAAGTTCGTAACATTGAGTCTCCATCGACCTTATATCTTTGCATTTGATACTTGAAGTAGTGGCTAACAACATACTTCTTTGCTCCAGCTTCTACGTCATACTTCTTTTTCCAAGTCTCTTAATCTTGTTTTGCAGTATCACATCAACTGTAATTATCATACAGATCATCTGCGAGTCTATTCAAAATATGATTTTGTAGAGATTTTCATTCTCTTTCTATAAGGTGATTTCTTTACTATGCTGTAAATCATTCGCTTTAATCTGTGCAGCAGATTCAACTTCAACACTATTAAGTGTTCCTTCTAAATCTCCAGATTTACTACCGTTAGTTTGTTCGATTGATCCAGAAGGAGCAACAGAATGTCATCGATCAAAACGTTAGCAACTTTTTTCAACATTAAGAACTTCATCTTTTGTTGCCAACGTTTGAAGTGACTTCTCTCAAACATGAACGATTTCTCAACGACAATATCCGCAAAAGAACCAATAATTTCTTCGGTACCATGGCAGTTTAAAACGTCTTAAAATTGTTAGATTCAGATTTTGAAATATTTGCCACCGAAGAAATTACTAGGTTGAGTCGCGGACTAGGTCGCTCTCTTTAAGACGTTTCGCAGCACTGCTCAAAAATTATGCAAAGCAGTCAAACTACCGCACCGCCTCCAGGATAAAACAGCCCAGTTCTATACTGTATGATTACTACTTGCATGATAGATAATCGGTCTAGAAATACACCCTCTGATGGTACAAGACCATTCAAATATGGTATCAACACCACTCGTAGTATTTAGTACAAAGACCAGTCATAATAATTTCTTAAACAAAAAGAAACTCAAATAATTCTCCAAAGAGAAATTAATAATAGTCATTTGACCACTCATAATAATTTCTCCAACAAATAGAAATTCAAATAATTCTCCAAAGAGAATCCAAAAGATTAAACTTGAAAATTTCTCAACTCAAATGAGGAGAAATTAACATAATTCTCTAAGGAGAATTCAAAAAAATACTCGGAAAATTCAACGAGTAGAAAGAAAGGGGAAGAAGATGGCGCTTCGACAATTCGAGAGACGCAGAGTTATGAGAATGAGGAAGGAGAAACTAATAGAATAGTTTTTGGTGTGATTTGAAATGAAACATGTGCACTCCTTATATAATGAAGTAATATAGTTAATATTTCTCACATGAGCAATGTGAGACTAAATGATTTTTTCAACCAAAAAGATATATTAACAATGTGGGACTTGAGAAAATTTTTAAATTCAACATATTAGAACATGGACATGTTCCAACAGAATTTAACCAAAATACTATAATAAAACTCATATATAAAATGACTTCGCAAATGGATGATACTATGATGCAGAAATAAAAATTTATAACTTTTTATTTTATGTATTAAAAAAAGCAGAGAGACAGACATAGGAATATCCGTCTCTAGTTTAAATAATGTTTATTTAAAAAAGTTACACTGAAAGTCCAAAAATTTTCAAATTATTTAAAAATATCATTTAAAAGTTGTATGAGAGTATTATCGTAAAACCGTAAGAAATGGGGTGCTAGGTAAAAAGAAAGTTGCACGACAAATTCTCTGGATTTTAATACATCAAATCCAACATTCCATTCCATGTTTCTTTAACGAAACAAACATTGACAACTGCATTGAATTGAGTCAATAACTATTTTCTTTATGTTCAAATACATTTAATCTCAAATATTAAATATATATGTTAAATTATGTCATACAAAAATAAAAAGCAAGCGGAGAACAAACTAGTTTTTTTTTTTAATTTAAATTGTCAATTGCCATCACAACAATTTGTAGTACAACGACAAGTAATATAAAATAGAAGTATATATATGTTTGGTTTTCGAATATTTCTCAATATAACATATCATTTTTTTTATATAATCTCTTTTAGTTTGTTGGACAGTGTTTAAATACATTAATAATAAATTAATTTAAAATAGAGAGGAAAAGAACAAAAAAAACGCCAACAAAGAAAAGCGTGTAAAATCTCTGGCAAATGACATCTTGTTGTACTTTTCATGCTAGTTCACCCACCAGCCAGCTTGCCAATGCTTACCGTCAGCATAACTTTCTCATTACATCGACTCTGTCTTGTTCTTTAATACGACACCGATTTTCTCTATATATAAAAACTACATTAAATAATCCAAGAAATATTTAGATAATATAAAAGAGTCTCATTCAACTTAATTAGAGATTTTAAATTTAAATTTAATCATATACACATAGTAGTATTAAATCTTTTAGAATTTTTTTTGTTAAACACAATTTATTACGGTTTTAAAAAATTTAAAGATTAGTCTCTGCAATTGTATATAAAAATGTTTACAGATCAATTTAGATCAATTTTAAGATAATCTGATAATCTAAACTGATAAAAAATATATGAATTAATTTATATTAAATTTGTATATTTTTCTAATGAAATTCAAATAGAATCAAACCGACAAATAACTTATTAACTTACACTGGTGGAGAAACGACCACCCTATTATTCTTTTTTAAAAGAAAATATATATAGTTGCCATTAGATATTACACGCTGACAAATATGTTCATTAAGTTATTTTAAAATACATACAAATATATTTTCATTTCTAATTAGATAACATGTAGCACACAATACATACAAATATATAATACACTTACACTTAACTATTTTACTTTATATTTATATTCACTTTATAAGTTATCACTTCACTTCATATATAAAAACTTAACTAATTATTTTCGTCAATCTTAATTATTATTAAATCAATTATTTAATTTATTATTGATATTCTTAATTAATTTATACTATTTTTTAAAGTAAAACTATTAGAAATAATAATAATAATTGTATATTATATTTAAAATATATCTCAATAATTATTTATAGAATTAACATTAGTCTCAAATTTGTCTAAATATTTGACAAAGATTTAAGACATAATTTTCATAAAAACAAATAAAATAAATAAGTATTTGTGAATTATCATTTTAAGGACTCTTCGTAATTTTGTCTCAAATTTGACTTAATATTTTACACAAATTTAAGACGAAATATAAAAAATAATAAAATAAACAACAATTTTAAATTATATCTAAATTTCATCTAAAAGTCTATATACACAATGAGATTCTTTCTAAAATCAATCTTGGTATTTTACACGATAGAATTTTCAAAAAAAAAAGAAAAATTAAATATTATGTATTTATTTTTGAAATTTATCTTAAAAGTTTCTATATTGAAATTTGTCTCAAACTTGTCTCAATATATTAAATGAATTCGGAATAAAATTATAAAATATAGTAAAAAAACAACAATTATATAATTAGTCTCAAATCCGTCTCAAAATCTCTACATGATTGAAATTCATCTAAAAACTTAATATCGTTTAAGACGAAATTTATTGTATTCCAAATTCCTATTTAAAAATGTTAATATTTTAATAGTGTCACGAGTACATCTAATGTATTTATCACCATATACACTTATATTAGTCTCCATCATATCTCTAGATTTTATATTTGAACTTTCATTATTCTATATATTTAATAAATTTCATTTCATGTTTTTGATTTATTTTTAATTTCAAAGTTCTATTCAAATATTTAAATTATACATTCTATCATTTTAAAATGTTTATTTTAATGTTTAAATTATGTATTTTTGTTCTTGAGAATTATTATCTTAATAAATTGTTTAACAATAAATAAGAAGTTAATATTTTTATCACGATTGTTGCGAATATATAATTATGTTTTATTAATATTTTATTAAATTTAATTAAAATTTAAATATTTTATATATAAAAATTTTATAATTATTTATAATTTTTAATTTATTTTAGTGGCTATCCCAAAAATTTTCGTATGGCTTCACCACTTTTGACTTGAATTCAATTGATTAGATACATCGGATACAAATTTGTAAAAGTATTTAAATAAAAAAATCTAATTTACATTAATTTAATAATAATATCACATTCTTAATTTTTTGTTTTTGCATGTGAATGTAACAAATGATATTATTTTTTTAAAATTAAATATTTTATATTAGTTTTTAAGATAATGATGATATAAATTAAATAAATTAGTATAATTAGTTCAGGTAAACGGACTCGCAACTAAAATTTTGAAAATTTATTGCCTGAATCGATTAACATCAGATTTTATTGATTTGATTCAGTTTTAATTAAAAAATTGTCCGACTCAAACATCATGATTTGATTTGGATTTCAATTTTATTTGAATTTGTATGAACCTATGAACATCCTTAATTGCACGCAGAGTATACTTGATTTATAAAAAAAAACATACCAAATTAAAATATAAGAGAAAATACAATCACATTCCTCAGAGGTATATTAAAATGACACTAATATTTATCTATAATTTTTTATCTATCACTATAACTTTCCATTGGTGTATATATACTTACGAAAATTCAATGCATCATTTAAAATTAGAGTGAATATCCGTGTCTTTTTAACAAAATTTTAGGGAGATGAGTGTAATTTTCTCTAAAATATATATTATTAAAAGATTAGTTTCAAACAAACAAAAAAAACATTAATTAATAAAATAATACGTTTTTATTTATTCGCCGTTGGAAGTGCTTTCTCACTCGTCGATATTTCCGTTTTCTCCAATTGGCCAATTCGACAACTCTGAAAAAAAGCCTCCACCCTCTATCTTCTTCTTCTTTTTTTCTCTATCTTCTCCACTAAAATTCTCTGCGGTTCGGTTTTTTACCCGAACCGTTCTCTACCCCACTCTCTCTCAACTTCCTCACTTCGCTAAACGAACTACGCGAATTTTCACTATCACCAAAACCTTTCAATTCTCAATTTGCGTTAATCGTTATCATCACTTTTTTGATCAATCCATTTCACAGTAAGTTCTATCGCTTTCGATTTAGTTCTTAGATCTGTTACTTCATTTCGTACATGATTTTTGTGCGCGTTCGTGTTCGCGTGTTTCGTTTTTTGTTTTGATTTGCGTTTTTTGTAACGTTTCGCTGTACGATTTTGGTGTATTGAATTTGGATCTGAATGATAATTGAGCGGTGTTTGTGATTGGATCTGGTTTAGGTTTTAGAGATCGGAGAGGAGAAGATCTATGGCGCATAGGGTGGATCATGAGTATGATTACTTGTTCAAGATCGTTTTGATCGGAGATTCTGGTGTTGGTAAATCTAACATTCTCTCTAGGTTTACGAGAAACGAGTTTTGCTTGGAGTCTAAATCTACTATTGGAGTTGAATTCGCCACCAGAACTCTTCAGGTATTTGCACTTTCTCTGTGCGATGAAAATTTATCTTTTTTTATCGCTTCCTGTGAATGATTTCATTTGTAACGTGTAGCTTTACCTGTTGATCTTTGTTTTTTCATATTTCTGAATTTTCAAGTTATTTGAATATGTTGTTAGAAGTTTTCAAGTTATAGATAAGATCCTTTGCTGAGGATCATCAATCCAGTGAGACTAGTTTAGAGGAATGGTTTTAGCTTCAAGTGCTGTGATCATGTGCTGAGGACTGAGTTCATATTATCATTGAAAAATATATATTTTTGATTGACATGTCTATGAAGTTTTGTCTATGAAGCACGGATACCAGACACATCGGCGACACCGGTAATAATTTGAAAAAAATGAATAAATCAAATGTAATCACAAGCGTCGGACATGGACACTTTTTTTTCCAGAGGTGTTGGTGCTACATAGCGTATGTTGTACCTATTAGATTTATAGATACGCCTTTTCAAAAGAAAACTCATCTTGTGTCCAAGCATATCATTAACCAAATATTCTGAGTTAAAACCTGAAAGGGTTGACCTATTGAAGCATGATAGGGCTTGTATCCTACATGTTGCAGGCTCTAGTTCCCACTAGTCCCTAGGGAAGAGGTCAATGAAATTTTATTCGTGATTACACAAGACTACGGTGTCATCCTCTCACTCTAAACATTCCCATTTCAAAGAATATTCTGAATTCATTGACTTTTGGTGTTAAAACTTAAACTAATACTTGCTAGTAAACTAATATTTTACTCCCATTTGTTGAGAGTAAACTTCTGTTACTTGCTAGTGTTGAAGTGTTTTTTAATATGATGTTATGCTTATGAATCCTTGTTTGTATTACAATGTTACCAATGGTTGTTTCCTTGACTTTCTCCACAGGTAGAGGGAAAGACTGTAAAAGCACAGATATGGGACACAGCGGGTCAGGAGCGGTACCGTGCCATTACCAGTGCCTATTATAGAGGCGCTGTTGGTGCTCTCCTTGTATTTGACATAACTAAGAGGCAAACCTTTGACAATGTTAACAGGTGGCTGCGTGAATTGAGGGACCATGCGGATTCTAATATAGTGATTATGATGGCTGGAAATAAGTCTGATTTGAACCATCTTAGAGCTGTTTCAGAAGATGACGGTCATGCTTTGGCAGAGAAGGAAGGTCTATCTTTTCTTGAGACATCCGCGTTGGAAGCAACCAACATTGAGAAGGCATTCCAAACCATATTGACAGAGATCTATCATATTGTAAGCAAAAAAGCACTTGCAGCTCAGGAAGCAGCTTCTGGTACCCCACTTCCTGGTCAAGGAACCACAATCAATGTTGCAGATGCCTCTGCCAATACAAAGAGAGGCTGTTGCTCCACTTAATGTGACATTTTCAGTAAAATCGTTACTAGCAGATAGTATTTTCCCCCCAATTCTGTTTTTGCCCCTTTCTCTTTCTCTATTTTTATTTTTCCTTCTTTATGGGTGAGAAAGAAACATGTAGAGTACATTTACTTTGTTGAGTTGCGACGAGGAAGCCTGTGAAAGATTCAAAACTATAGTGTTGCTAGTTTCTTTTGGTTATTTCTCCCTTGATGTGATAATTTCTTTTGAATTGATGTAATATTATTGGAGCTGACAGATATTTGATGATATAGCATGGTTAATGAGAATCTGATGTTTCAGGGAGGTCGTGTAAGATTCAAGTCTGCTTTAGATTTTTGTTTATTATTTAAGGCTATTTGAGATCTCTGACATAATGTATGATAATTCCTTTTGCCATATCTTTTTGGGTTGTTAATTCCAAATAACATTGTTAAATGAGATAAAGAAATTTCATCTTGGAATACAACTTAAACAATTTCAAACGTAATTATTATTACAATATTTTTTCTTTAAAATGTCTCTTTTAGTTCCTAATGTTTTAGAGAATTTTTCTTTACACCAAGTAGTGGTGAAAATCACCATTGAAAACTCGAAAATATTTTTCAGAAATGCATTTTCGAACTCACCTATCAGTATGTTTTGGATGTGCATCTCCGAAGACACTATTTTTTCATGTTTTAATACTTAAATGTTGGATTTGAAATCCTTGAGGTAGTTTCGGATATGCACATCCGAAACATGTTGATAGGTGAATTCGGATGTACATATCTGAAACCACTTTTTCCATATTAGAATGTTGCATGGTCATCTATACTAACTATTGTATTCATTTTCTATTCCTTCATAACCATAACCCTCAAAAACTATCAATTATTTTCAATAGATTTTTCGTCTTCAAATCAAGTTTTTTAAGTGTTTGATATAGCAAAGAGAGCATAGAAAGCTGCAATTTGAGATAAACTTCCATTATTTCATTATACATTTTCTGCATTGAAGTTGATTTGTTGAAGAAGAAAACATCGTCACTTCAGATATGTACTTCCGAATTCAACCTACCATAATTCAGATGTGCATATCCGAAAAAATGTCTGTTACAAAACCAGAATTCTGTTTTAACAAAATTCATGTTTTTTTAACACGTTAATATTTTTTTAGCATGTTAGATATGGTGCACCCCGATAATATTGTCAAAGCTCTCGTAAAGGTTTCAGACAAGGTTAATGGAGATGATAAGCCGATTGAGGTGAAAGACGTTGATAAAACGAATGATGTTGTGATAAATGATGGACAATAAATTTAAAATGATAAAAGTTTTACCTCTCGTCAACATATGTTTGAATGTGTTCGAATGGAAGCTAGCAAATTTGAATTTGGCGTTGTGATTGAAAGGTCCGACAATGAGACTAGTTAAATGCAACCATTTGTTGTGATGACATGCGAGAGAAGTGGGAAATATGTTCCAAAAATTCGAAAGATAAAACATGATGACACGTGATCGAGGAAATGTGAGTGTCCGTTTAAATTGCGCGGTTATTGTAGGGTGGATGGTTTATGACGGTATAATGTCATGTTCGGTATGCATAATCATGCGTTGGACACCAAGCTACATGGGCATTCAGTTGTATGTCGGCTTAAGACGATAGAGAAGGAATTTGTTTCAGAATTGTTGTTGATCAAAGTTGTGCCGAGAAACATATTTGCCGGTTTGAAGCAGAATAAACCAGAATGTGTTTCAAATATCAAGTTGGTTTACAATCATCGTTATAAACAACACATTGCACAAAGAGGTCTGAGGTCTGAAATACAAAATTTATTGAAATGTTTGGACGATAACCACTACGTTTCCAGGTACAAAGTTTATGAGGACAACGTCAGTATTCGTGACATTTTTTGGACTCATCCAGAAAGTATCAATTTGTTCAATACATTTCCAACAGTCCTTATGATTGATTCGACGTATAAGACCAACAAGTACAAGCTTCCGTTTCTAGAAATTATCGGCGCCATCTCTACAAACAAGACATATTCGGTTGGATTTGGTTTTTTGGAATGTGAGAAAGAAGACGTCACTTGGGCGTTGGGTATATGCAAGACTTTGCTGAAGGATCCATAAAATATGCCTAAGGGTCATTGTTACCGACTGAGATAACGCCCTTATGAATGCGGTTGGCACTGTATTTCCTTCGTCAATTGCAATACTTTGTCGATATCATATAAAAAAATATGAGAGCACGACTTAAATCCGCAGTTGGTACCAAAGAAAAAAGGGTGAAGACGGAAACATGGTCAAATATGGTGTTGTGGTTGAGAAGATAATGGGTGCATAGACTGATATTCTTAATTCTGCTACAGAAGAGTTGTATACTGAAAATGTGGTACACTTCAGGAACTTGTGTGTCGAATATCTCAATTTCTTGAAATACGTTGAGTCGACTATCCTTGATCAGGTGAAAGAGAAAGTTGTATGTGCTTGGACGGACCATGTTAGACATTTCGAGAATACAACAACTAATTGAGTGAAATATGTACACGCGAAGTTGAAGAAGTGGTTGAGTGATAGTAAGGGATATCTTTGTAGAGAACGGGACACGGTGAATTAAATGCTCCAAAACCAACATAATGAAATTCAAACAATATTTGGTAGGAGCAAAACTGTATTAGAACATCAATTTAAAGACAACACTCTCTATTCGCAGTTGGTTCATAACATATCTCAGGCGGGATTGAATTACATTTTTTATGAAGTGGAACAAGCGGAAACGACGGAGCCAGATAGTTTGAAATGTGGATGTACAATAAGAACGACTTACAGACTTCCATGTGCTGGTGTTATTTCTAAAAAAATTAAGCTCAATTTCCCCATACGTATGGATGAGGTTTGCACTCATTAGAAAGACTTTGATTTGATGATTGCGAGCCGACAAAAGAAGGTAAATCCAACATAACCATCACAACTGAGTTGGAAGTGATAATGGATAGATTTTCTAAAGTGGATGATGCTATGAACTTTCACATTAAAGAACAATTGAGAAAAGTCGCTTTTCCTGAAACAACTGATTTGAAACCCCCTTCGCAACCGGTAAAAATAAAAGTTATGCTTAAAAAAGCAAAAAGTTCTCAGGATGATGGTTCAACAATGCGGACTCCTTCTTACCATGAAGTTGTTGATTCAATATTTCCGGATTCTCCAACCCTAAAATCTAAAACTAGTGTTAACAAAGGAGCTTGCATTTCTAAACCACCTTGTACACTACCTATTATAAAATAACCACAACCGCCACCAATTATCTACATTGATGAGATGCCGCTTTTTATGCACAAACACATTGAACAAATCGTGGATGTGGGGAGTGATGGTAATTGCGGGTATTGTGTCATGTCCGGGTTACTTGGTGATGGAGAGGAAAATCACACTCTTGTGCGCCAAACACTTATTTCGGAGTTAACGGTGCATAGTGAACTCTACACTCGCCTATATGTGACTATAAAATTTTTTAATAAAGTTCATCATGCTCTTGCCTCAACTGTTATCGTTTGCGCACCAGTTTCTAAGTGGATGAGCTTCCCTGAAATGTGTCATCTTATAGCAAGTGCATATGAGAGGGTGTATATAGACTTGACGAGGTATAGATTTTTGGAAACATTTTTTCCTCTTCGGACTCCCCCACCTAAAGATCCATATGGCTGCATCATGTGTATTAGGTACCTTAGATCACGCTATTTTGTTCAGGTTTATTTGAAACTGGGTTGTCATATACCTGCTACATCTGTGGAATGGACAACACATCATAAAAAAGAGGTGGAAACTTGGCCGAATAAGTTTTTAGATAAGATGGTAGAGTTCACCAATTTGATGGAGCTTGAGAGAGAATCAAATAGGGAGAAGTCGAAGAAAGAACCTGTTTTAGATTTAAGTGGTGACAATTTATTCGGTACATTTTAGAATATAATCGAACCATTTTTTGAATGTATTGTCGTACACATTGTAAAATTTATACTTTTTAATACATATATAACATGTTATATGTATTTTGTTTTGCAATTGTTTAATTTTTCATGTCACTTTGGTACAAATAATGATTTTGAGTTCTGATTCTGCATAATTCGAAAGTGCACTTCCGAATTGATCTTAAATTATAAATAAAAAAACACATGGCATATTTCGGATATGAACATTCAAATTCACCTCTTATTTTATTAAAAAATATGGTGTTTTCGGATGTGTATTTTCGAAAACCCCTAATTTTGATAAAAAAAAGGTGAATTCGAATGTTCGTATCCAAATTATGTCATGATAAGTTTTCTTTGGTCCATATTGCTCCAAAAAGACTATGAATTAGGTCTTCCATACCATTTCTTTATCAATCACATACCACAACAAAAAATGACAAAAACATATCCACACATTATTTTTGTCTACTTTAGTGGTGTGCAGTCGCCACTTCGATTCAGGTTCTCGTAGGACACGCTGTTCGCGAGCTCATTACCATACTGCATTCTCTCTTGCAATATCCAGAGAATCGAAAGGTGGTCAAGCTTGATTATCATTCACCTTCAATTGACACTGAAGGAAACGTAAAGTTCACCTCGTTTGAGCTCAAGAACGACGAAGATTTAGAGGTTATGTGGGGTACCTTTCAACAATACTCTTCTAAGGGTCTGATTGAGATGGATTCAAAGCTTCAAAGATCGATAAAATATGTTATCAAGATGTTGCGACGTCCTCAACTGCTCGTTTATAACAATATGTAACTTTATTTTTCTGCATAACTATTTATGTAACTTCTGTAAATTATGTTGAATGAATGTCATGAATTATGTTCAATAATGTTATGCTCGGGGATAAATTCGGATATGCATATCCGAAGTAAATTTAATAAATCACGTTGGTGGTTTGCTCGGATATGCACTTTCGAGTTCTGAGAAAAAAGTGTACTAGGTGTGAAAAGAAATTCTCATGTTTTAAGGATTACTTATCAAGGCTCTTCTATCTTTTTACTACGTAGTAGGACTATAAAATAAATATGCCAGTTACATTGGGAGGTAAATTTGCACATCATTAGCTTACAAATAGATGCATTTTAGTGGGAACGAGAGCAATGCTGTTTTAAAGGAAGAAAAAAAATGAAAGAATGAAAAATGATGTTTAAACTTTGAAGAGAAAAATGATAAAAGAGAAGTGTTATTTGAACACCTAATATTTGACACCATATTTGATATTGTCTATCAACATATATCAATTTTTATCTCTCTTACTTTTTTTATTTCATATACTTACACGAATTTCAATAATATATTATCTACTATCTACTATCAAACATTTATTAATGAATTGACCAAAGAAACTTTTACGCCCTTTAAACCAAAATAAATTGCACTAACAAAAGGACATAAATTGCACTAACAAAAGGACTATCCTGTAATTAACAAATTAAGATGGTACTTTACATCTTATACTACATTATAACTCCATTCGTTGCTTTATCATTGGTCCCAATTAAATATTCATTTTCCTCCAAGACGTAATTGCTTTGCAACTCCCCCTTTTCATTTTACATTAATTGAGACCGGTCACACTGTCCCAAACAAACTCACAGACGAAGGCAAATTTCTCAACAACATTGTTTCATCTTCAATCTCCCAAACAAAGTCAGAAACGAAGAAAAACTCCTCAGCGACATTGTTTCATCTTCAACTTGCTCAAAAGTAACTACACAGCCTTTGATGTGCTTCATTTTACGTTTTTATTTTCCGTCTTCTGTTTCATCATTCATGGCTAAGATTCTGTCTTCAACCTTTTTGTTTAACTGGACTATTTTCTACAGTTTGTTCCGAGCCTTTATATTTACCTTCATGTTGACATTGTGTTTTCTGAAACTGATACATTGGGTTTTCATTAGGATTTCATAACCATCTCATATGGCCTGTTAAACATTTTTATGTATGTTTTTTCTTGAAAAAGTTTACATTTTTAACATGATTTGTTGTTTCTTTGTATTTGTGTTCCACGCATTCCAACTTCAAACAAAGTTTTCCCAGTTTTGTAACATTATTAATCCTTTTTATGTTTGTTTTAACTTGAAAAAGATTTCATTTTTAACTTGATTTGTTGTTTTTTTGTTTTCGTGTTCCATGTTTTCAAACTTAAAACAAAGTTTTCCCTGTTTTTTAACGTTATATTTTGTAACTTTTCACAATCCAACAATAGAACAATGTCAAGGGCTCTCATTCTCATCAAGGACCCGGTCAAAGGAAACCAAGTGTGGAAGATGCTTATCAGGGTTGTTGACATATGGGTTGTAAAGGAGAAAAAAAATGGCAGCCAACATGTCGAATTGGTCTTACAAGATGAAATGGTATAACTTTTGAATACATTTTTTCATAATAGTTTTGAACATTGTTTGTTCATATATTTCACAGGGCGATCAAAATCACGTCACCACTAGGAGCCGTGACTTTAAAGATTGGATTGAACAACTAAAGGAACATGAAACCTATTATCTTTATAATAGAGAGCCTGTACTAAATGACGGCCCTTTCAAAGTCTGTTCCAACCAGCTCAAACTTGTCTTCAATTGAGGGATTACCTTGACCAACGTGGCGATACCAGAAATACCACATCACAAATTCAACTTTCATGCTATTGACAACTTTCTCAGAGGACGTTTCAAAGCTGATACATTACATAGTGATGTTATCCACGACCTTAAGTACTTTTATAAATGTATTTGTATTGAACTATTAGCGTTTATGTGTTTTCATCGTTATGTATTTATTTTGTAGATGTCATTGGGGTTTTGCAAGAGGTAGTCAAGACACAAATGAGAGGCGGTGGTAAAAAGTCGTGTGTCAATATCACTTTACGTGATACTGAGGGTAATGTCATTGAGGTTCCTTTGTGGGATGATTTTGCCAAACAATTCATGAACTACCAAAACCCTGACCAATTTGCTGCTCATACAATTGGCATCTTGACACATGCTTGGTGTAAACAAAATACAAGTTTATAGATTCTGTAGCATTCTGTTTTATTTCTCAAAGGTTTCTTTTAATAAAATTGAATTATGCTGATTTTCTCAAATGTCAAATTTGTTAACCTCTTGCATTATGTAGCATTTTGTTTTCATTCTCAACGGTTACCTATTGTTGAATTTATTCTAATGTATACAGTTTCTGGATTGCCAAGTCTATCTAATGCTTGGAACTGCTCTAGACTTTACATTAACTTAGAGCATCCTCAAGTTGAATCATTCAAAGCCAGGTAATTCCCTTTGCATTCACGTCTTACACAATTTGCTGATTCCTTTCTTTAAAAATATGTCAATCTCAACTTTTATTTTCTGCAGTTTTGGAACAACTGATTTGGCAAACCAGTATGCTCTTTCACTAACTCGTGATTCATTCATTCATTCCACTAACAAAAACTGGACTAGCCCAAAAGAGGTCAAGAGTATTCGTGAGATTTATGAAGGAGGAAAGGTATCCCTTTATTTTCAAATCAGTTTCTAAATATGTTTGTGATTATGTTATGTTTTCGTGAATGTATACAATTTCACGCAACAGGATTGTTACGCAACAACTATTGGCACTACCTTATGTTTCAAAGCTTCCAAGTTCGGATGGTATTTTGAGTCTTGTCCGGGCTGCAAATCTTCTAACAAGTCACAAGGCTCTATATTTCACTGTGACTGTGGAGTTAAGGATGTTGAACCCGTACTAAGTAAGGCTTCCTTTCCCCTTTGTTCATAACTGTCATATATTGTGGTGTACAATTCTGCTCTAATTTGTAATCCCTTTTGAGATTACAGATTCAAAATAGAAATTGAAGTTGAATATGATAGCCACAAAGGGACTTTTGTTTTTTTGGATAAGGATTGTAAACCGTACACTAAAATGACTGCTAAGGAATTAAGACAACTCATGAAGGAGGTTTGTATATCTGTTTATGTTAGACTTTTCATTAATGTCAAAGACACCTCATAATAGGCTTTATAGAACATCCTTATATTTTGTCTTTGTGCAATTTTTGCTTGCATAGGCTGGAGAGGACAACCCTAAGATTTGGCCAGCTCACCTTGACAATCTGTTAAATAGAGAAATGGAATTTCGTATTAAGTATCAATCCTCTTACCAACAATATTCTATTGTGACTATTCTTAACGAGTAGAATCTATACAACAAATTGAAGAACTATTTAAGCCCTACTGAAGTACAAGTTAACTTTTTGTCAATAAATTTTTGGATGGGTTTTTATATGAAAATTTTGGCTTGGTTTCTATATGATATAAGACATGTATATGTTGTGTTTTTTTCAGCAAATCTCTGATGCATCTATTATGGATATCACCAGTAAAGAGCCAATGCAGGAGCCCAACCAACCTATTGTGTCCTACAACAAGCTCTAGTAGCACACCTGCAAAGAGGATTGCTATAACTACATCCGTTAATAATCTTCTCGAGGCTGAAGACCTGACTCCAAAGCAATCTGTCACAAAGGGCAAGCCTGGAAGGAAGATGAAGCATTTAAAGAAGGAATGATATGGTGGGTCTATTTCAGCAATATTTTCCTATTTTGATGCATAAATTTAAATAGGCACCCTTTTTGTAAGGAATTATGCCAACTTTCATGCTTCCTGACTATGTTTAGGTGTATTTATGCTTTTACTACTAAAATTATCATTTTCATTTATGTAATGAATCTATTATGTGATTGTTAATGTAGAATGCATTATTTATGTCTCCATTTCCCTTTGTATGACATTTACAACTTCTTTTTGCATGAATTTTTCTTTAGTTCAGAACAACTGTTCCACTTTTGCTTTACTTTAAGTAAAGTAAATACAAACTACTGCTCATTCAAACCTTTTTATATTTGTACATTTTCACATATCATTTCATTACAATACACACTTTGTGTAAAACTGTTTCATTAAAATGATGAATGTCTTCTTGAATATTTGTACTACTACCAGATGATACCTCATAGAAACATCCACATGTATGCTTAAAAAAGTTCTGTTAACTGTGTTTCAGATGCAAAATTTCCTCTCTACTATTGATCTTAAATGACATTAGTACAAATTTAATCAAGTAGTTTTTCACTATGACAATTAACTTCAATAATTTTTTATCAAGCTTAAATCCTAAATAACACATAACTGTATAAAATGCAAATCATAGAGGCTCCATTAATTGACTGATATAAAATAGGCAATATAACAGACACAGTTTTTGATGTGCGAAATTGATCTTTGAAATATGTTACTCATTTTCTATACATGAATATGCATTGTTAACACCATTGTTGCAACTACTTACACATATGACAACATAATCTTTATGGATTTTTTACATGTTCAAATAACAAACCTTCATGTTTTTATATTTTGTTTTTTCAGTTTTGTAAACTGTGCATTGATAAATGTGTTTGCTTTCCTATGTACAGAAACGCGATACAGTGGTTCAGCTAAAGATGTCCCCAATTTGGTGTAAGTAAAAATTGGATTGTTTATTGAGTGTACTTACAATTTTTGTCCTTTATCAAAACTGTTGTATGGTCATGATTTGTCATGATTACAAATTAGAGCCGAAATCATATAGTTTATTATTTATTCAAGACAATCCATTTTCAATTTGACATTGGAACTACTTTTATGGTTTATTATTCATCTTACCTGTTGCATTACAGAGTTATGATATGACTAGCTTCTCCAATATTTTCTCTAAAGCCAAGCCTGCTGTCAATTCAACCTTAAATGCAGTTGTACCTTTACATCTATATCCATGCTGGTGTAGCTTCAGGAAGGAACATATTAAGCCCATCTCAACGGTACAAAGGCTTTTTCAATGTCCATTCTCGTGTAACTGCTGAAAAATAACATATTTTAATAAGAGTTTTGTTTATTCTGCTGGATAACATGTAAGTTTATCAGGCTGCTTTTTTGGTGTTCCTGTTAGTCTACTACTTGCATCAATACTATAGGCTAAATACCAAAAACCACAAGAAGATTGTAAATACACCAACTTTGTGAAGTGGTCCCAGCCATCCCAATTTAGTTGAACCTTCTAACTAACTAAACCAAATTCAATATACTATAGTTAAATATATTCATGTAATACATAATAAGATAAAACAAAAACTGATATATTAAATTATCAAAGGATAACTGGCTGCAAACAATATTATGTGTTATGGCTAATGTAGAATATTATTATAGTATTGATTACAGATTTTGTAAAACTGATATACTTGTAGAGTCCAAAAGCTTACAAAGAACATGCTCTTACAAAGTGGTGCACCTAATTCTATAACAGAAGAAATTAGTGGATTTTACAAATTGGAGATGGGACCATTTGTGAATCAAATGATGGTTATGCCGATATGAATATTTCAGATGGATTTTTAATTTCAAAATTTTCAGATCCTATCAAGGCAATTGTAGAGGATACATACCATTCATAACTATCTTGATTCCACCTATCTTGAAATTCGTGCAATTTTAACTTCAACAGTTGAAGTAACAGATGATATCAACCAATACATCACAAACTTTCTTCCAGGTATTATAGTAGCTTTTATCCTTACTTTATTGTTTTATAAGTTATTACTTAATGTTATAATTATCTATCTCACGAAATATATTTTACAATTGTTGTAAGGGAAGAAAAAGAATACTTTAGTAGTGATTCTATAGATAAATCTGATGCTACTAATTTTTATGCATATGAGCATGTCACACCTGGGTTTCTGAATGCTCTAAAAACTTTCGGATTGCCTAATCATTCAATAAAGTTGAAAGTTGGGGCCACCATAATGCTTATGCACAACCTCAATCAATCTGAAGGCTTGTGCAATGGTACACGACTAACTGTGACAAGCCTTGCTAGTCATGTTATTGAAGCAAATATTTTTTCTGGGAAAAATATTGGTAACATCATTTATATTTCTAGAATGTCTTTGTCTACTACAATCACCATGACCATTTAAATTGGTGAGATGCTAATTTCCAATTATTGTTTCTTTTGCAATGACAATTAACAAATAGCAAGGCCAACCTCTATACAATGTTGGTTTGTATTTACCAAAAGAAGTTTTTAGTCATGGTCAATTGTATGTGGCTTTCTTTAGAGTTAAATCCAAAAAGGGTCTTAAGATTCTTATTCATGACAAAGATAAACAACCAATGAACACTACTGCTAACGTTGTTTTCAAGAAAGTGTTCCAAAATATTTAATAGGTGTATTTTTATTATATGTACTTTATCATCCCATTCCAATTACCTATTGTATTGTATTACTACATAATAATACTTTATACTTTTATTTAATTTTCAGGTTCAATCTATGAGTACTTTTTTAAGATTGTTGTTACAACTTAATGCAATTTTATAGTTCTTTGTAACACTTTTTATATTTTAATTCTTATATTGCTACTATCTTTGTTTTATGACAACTAACTCCGGCGACCAACCACCACAGCTAGCCACCGACGATCAATCAAGTGTTATTACATTATTTACAAGACACTCTGATGCCAAAGTGAGGTTCAGAGCAAAAGTGCAAGTAGAGTTAAGAATAGAATAATGAATGTACCTAACCCTCTAGTGAGAAAGGGTATTTATAGCCCTCAGCGCTAAGGCAAGGTCTCCATTTGGGCCAAGTGCCCAGGCCCAGTATGGAGACTGTCAGGATTCACGTGTGTGAGGTAGACTAGCATATGCCCATGATTCTGGGTCAACTGTCCCGTGATCCTCGGGTAGTGGTGACCAATTCTTCCTAGAGGGCAAGAGGTCTTGTGATGTTAAGGGTAGTTGGCCACGCCCCTGGAGGGGAAACATGGGAGGGATTTCCAACGGTCATCATTGCTTGGGCCATAATGTTCAGCATTTCTTAAGAGAGCGCTAGACTAGATCTTTCCCAATAGTGGGCCAACTACGGCCCCAATCCAAAACATGAGCCCCCAAGTCGTTGCTCCTAGGTACTGGAGCTATGACTTAGAATTAACTCACGCGTCGAGGATAGAGCAGGTAGTCAACTGTTGCCGGGTATCCACGGATTGTGTTCGTGAATTCTCCTTGGGATCCCCGACGGATGGGCCCATGGGATCTTCACCTGGGTTGAGTCTTTAACATTGGCCATCGTTTTGTGCGAGGAGCCCTCGCTCGACATCATTTCTGATGGTTAGTTATGCTCAACTCTGGTCCAGTCCCGTCACTCGCGAGGTCACTGAAGGGGTAAGAAAATACTTAGAAGGGGGGGTTGAATAAGTGACTCTTTTTGTTTTCAATACAAAGCTCAAACAATAATGGAATAACACAATTATTTTTATCCTGGTTCGTTTGAACTCAAACTACTCCAGTCCACCCGCCAAGGTGATTTCGCCTTTCACAACAAGGACTTAATCCACTATAATCAACTGATTACAATCACACAACAACTGTTGTGACTAACAATGTACAAGTAAACTTACAAGTGACTAACACCACTAAGACTTAAATCTAGTCCTAGTCTGCTTGAGAAATCTGATCAAACTTGGTCTCTCAAGGAACAAATACAGGAGTATAATCTTTACAGATAATTGAAATAGAGTTTGCTTCTAATCAAGCTATATCACAACTGTGATTTTTCACTTAGAATATAATACACAAAATGTATGAACTATGAGTTTGTGAGCTTTTGAATCTTTCACGTAGTTTCTTGTTTGAACGTTGTTTTTAGCTTGCAATAAATGTCCTTCTACTTATAGTGGGAGTAATAAGACCGTTGCTGCCTTCAGAGGAAATGAAGAGCATTAAATGCTTTGCGTGTATCCTTGCAATATTCCATTTTCCAAGAAACTAGTTGTAGGCACTTGAGTGCTTTCAGATGCCCTTGCATTAATTAGCAAACGTCAGAATGTAAGAACGTGTTTCCTTTGCTTTGACAAGACAAGTTGATTTGGACGTTGTTTCAGAATTTGCTTCCAAATGTCTTTAAGTCAGAACATGCTTCATTCAACTTCTGATCAGAGCGTTGTTTGCTAAGATCCTTGAACAACACTTGCTTTCAAGTTATCTTCAGAAACAAGGAGCCTGCTAGAAGTTAGAAGATACTTTTAACAAGTAAAGGTTCTTACCAGAGTCAACAAATGCGTTTGAATAAAAGGTTCTTTTATCAAAGAACTTCTTCATAATCTTTGCTTAGTACTTTAGATTGTTTCTTGTCAGAACATTAACTAAGACATTCAAAACACATTCATTAGAGCATAAATTATCTTAAATATAATTTAGTTATCATCAAAACTCTTGAGATAGGTCAGAACTAATCTTGTTCTTTCAATCTCCCCCTTTTTGATGATGACAAAAAAAATTATTTTTAGATAAAGAAAAGAAACGGATTAAGAGATAAGAATCTCCCCCTGAAATGAATATTTTTATGCATAAGACATCCTGAGATTATTTAGTCAGAGTAATACACAGCCTTCTTGAATTTCTTCAGAACTTCTTCAAGAAGATAAATCTTAGCTGGAATATTCTTTCAGAGTTAAAATGATACCTGAA